ACACACACACACACACACACACACACACACGCACACACACAAAGACACACACGCACACACACAAAGACATACACACACACACCTGCTTGCATGCACACACGCACCCCACACCGACAAACAATTAGTCATGTATACGTATTATAAACACTAACACACACGCACGGAAACAGTAGAGAGTACATTAAAAAAAAAAAAGTTTATAAGTACACTTTCCGTTTCAACGCAAAACAGTAAGGGTTTTCTTTAAAAGCTGATTTACATGTATTAACTTTTCACAATGAACAATTTCTACCTTTCTTACGTCATTTCAACGTGCAGACAGCATAGCATGGGACGATAAAACATCTGACTACGTCACTTAATATTCGCCTTCACACAGATCTGAACCCCACCCCACAACTTCAAAGAAAAGATGGGACTTTTACCAATAAAAGCATCAGCCAGCAACACCCCTGCATGTTACACATAACCAGTTGATTAACAACGCATTTACATAAAAAAATATTATTCACAGGAATCACATTTCATAATTTCTTCCCTGCAAGCGAACAAATTAGATCTAATGTGCTGCAAGTACAACAGGCATACAGGAAACGTTTGGTTTACCTACAGCCATTAAAATCTTACATTTCGCCCCTACATATCGCAAACGATAATGTTGTATTTTCTTGTTCCTTCGACCCATCGTACTTTAAAACAAAACATTCAATATCATCCTAAAGTAAAAGACCCATTATGTATAATGTAGCCATCCTGCATCGATACAAAGATTTTGATTCGACACCACCACAAAAATGTTCCATCATGTAGCCTAGCTGTAGCTGTGGGGTATGGGGTAGGTGGTGGAGGTAACCGTGGCATTTTTCGTCTTTGAAACTTTTTGAACATGTTGGTTGACCAGCAAACGCTTTTCAGGGTCGTTTCTTTGCCGGACGGGAAGAACAGTAGCAATTTCCCATAAGAAGATGACCTCACTAGGCGCTTCTTCTGAAAACCCAGGCTGAGATGGATACAACGTCCCAGCAGACAGACGAAGAAACTCAATACAACGTCTTCCTACGCGACGGGAATCAAACATACGTCTTCTGCGTACATCGCCAAAGAGTCTAACGGCAACACCACAGTGGCTAGTGTCGGAACACAGAGACATAATACTTAATTTTTAGTATATATGGAGTAATCGATAGGACAGCGGTCATTCGGCGCAGAAAAGTAAAACCGACAAAAACAAAAGAGGGAGCGAAAAGAAGTAGAACCAACCACTGCCACTTGCCGAACACATATTTCTTCCCTTCTTTTCTGATAGTAGCATGAGCCCTGCAAAATCCAAGTGACTTT